CCCCTGTGAAAGGGTCGTTCGACCCCCAAAGGGGTCGCGGCCCACAGGTTGAGAATTGCTGGCCTAAAGGGTTGGAGGAATGATGGATGGAGCTCTGTGGGCCAGAGAAAAGAGCTTTCCTGGCAGAGGGAACAGTCAGTGCAAAGACCTGTCTCCCTTACCTCCATGCGCCTTTGTCTCCCCCTACGCCTCCCCCCTCAGACCTTTCCTACAGGCCCTTCACCCACAGATGAGAACGCGAGGCTCCAAGGCACTGTGGGAACTATCCAAAGTCGCACAGCACGGAAGAAGGGCCGATCTGCATCGCGCATCGCAACCTCGCCTCAGCAAAGAGGCGGCTTTCTACTCCCGTAAAGATGTACAGCTTCGGAACCCCACAGGGGTTGCTCTGGGTCAGAATTGACTTGAGAGTAATGAGTTTTGATGTTTTTATTATTATTATTTTGGGGATGTCATCAAGCAGGTCCTGGGTGGTGAAAACAATGCAATTAGCTTGCTTAGCTGCTAGCTGAAAATTGGAACTGCAGCCCACCAGAAGCACCGACGAGGAAAGGACTGGCAGCCTGCTTCTGAAATTCACCCTTGCAAGACCCCAGGGAGTGGAGTTCTTCTGGGCTGCAAGCAGGAGTGCCTGGCACTGGATTGTTTCTCCAGGAGAAGGGCCCGCCTCTCCTCCCTCTATTGCCCCCCTCCCCACTCCGCCTTTGAGGGCAGGAATCTGATTGTCAAAGTTGGGGAGGGTGGTGGAGCGAGGTAGTCAGCCAGCTCTCTGGGAGAGTCAACACCTGTGGGCATGAGAGACCAGGGTTCCCTGCTGGATGGGGAGGGGACATGACCGAGGGACAGACCACCGTCCTGAGACTGGAGACCCCTCCGAGGGGCCAATGTTCCGCAGGAAGGTGTGATGAGGACGCAGGGGCAGTGGGTGGGACCTGGATGCGCCTTTGGGCCCCAGATCCAGGAGGGAGGGGACTGGAGGCATGAGCGGGTCTGTGAGTTTCTGTGGCCACCTCGGTGAAGGAAGACTTCAAACAACACAGGCATCGTCACCCAGCCCTGGGAATCAGAAGTCCACCGCGGCTGCGTTCCCACCGCTGGCTCCAGCTGGGAATCCGATCCCTGCCGCTGCCCTTGTAAGGTGTCCAGGAGCCGGGCCCTCCTCACAGCCAGCCCACAGACAGCGCTGCTCGGGTCCTCCTGATAACACGTCCACAGTACCTGTGAAGTCTCACTGTACCTTCCTTCTCAGGCACCTTTCAAGTGTACTGCATCCAAAACAGAGCAGTTCATTCTTGTGGCCTGTCCTTAAGCACCTTCACATCGGATGCTTGTGAACCAAACATTGCCCAGTCCTGCACGGGTCTCATAAACGGCTCTTTTATGTTTGAGCCGATTGCTGCTGCCACCGTGTCAGTCCATCTCCTTGAACGCCTTCCTCCCCTCCGCTGCCCCTCGACTTTGTGCCAAGCATGATGTCCTTCTCCAGGGACTGGTCTCTCCTGATAACATGTCCAAAGTGTGTGAGATAAAGTCTCACCATCCTTGCCTCTAAGGAGCACTTCCTCCCAGACAGACAGATGTGCTTGCTCTTTTGGCGGTCCTTGGTACTTTCAATATTCTGCACCAGCGCCACACTTCAAATCTGCACTATGGCTCTTTCTGACAGTCTGTGGTGTAGTCGATGTTCTTAGCTCAGACCATAATTCCAAGGCACCAATTCTTTGGTCTTGCTTAATCATGACTCAGCGTCTAGAAGCCACCATATTCCTTGAATCTTGGCCTCCTCCTCCATCTTCAGAGCTTATCTCTCAACTCCCATCTCTAATCTTTCTCAGCTTCCGTGGCTGCACATCCTGCTTTTAATTTGTGATCACCTTTGGCCCATACACATAAATCAGCAGTCTCCTCACCACTAGGTCCTTAAATTCACTGCATCTGCTGAGTCTCTGAGGGTGCCCTGGTGGCTGAGTGGTTAAGTGTCTGTTGGGCTATGACCTGCAAGTCTGGCAGTTCAAATCCACCCGTGGATATAAGGAAGAAAGGTGAAGCTTTCCTCCGAAACTCACAAGGACAGTCTTACCTGATCTTACAGGATTAGGAGGAGATGGCAGTGAGTTTGACTTTTGGAGCTAAGTCTCTGTGGCTATGTCAAGTTACATTTTCACAGCTTTCCAGGACTAGGGTGTGAGCATCTTTGGGGCTATTAGTTTCCTGTGAAGTAGTCTCTGGGAGGTGAAAAAGGGAGCCCCGGTGGCTACTTGGTTACACATTGAACTGCTAAAGGCAGGGCAGCAGTTCAAACACACCCACCCCTCTGAGGGAGAAAGATAAGGCTCCCTGCTCCCTTCAGGATTTACTGCCTCAGAAGCCTGCCAAGTTTTACTTGGCCATCCATGGTTGGCAATGAGTCGGAATTGACTCTGCGGCAGTGGGTTTTTTATTTGGATGATGTGAACAGGTAAGCGCTTCGCCAGAAGGGCGGGCGGCACTACAAACCCACTCAGAGCTGCCTCCTCAGAAAGGCCTGGTGATCTGCTTCGCAAAGGCTGCCGCTTTGGCACCTCTGTGGAGCAGTTTCCTCTGCATACCCAGGGCAGAATCCACTCGATGGTAAATGCACTTGTAGTGTGTGTGTGTGTGTGTGTGTGTTGAAATCCAAGTGTGCTGCTCCGAGGGTCCCAGGCAGTGGGGGGATTCAAGTAATTTAACAACTAGTTCGCTGCCCAAACGACCATCTATAAGGATCAAAAACCGATAACATTGAAAGGTAGCTGTGTTTTGGGGTTATTTGATTTTTTAAAACTTTTCAGCAGGGTATCCAAACACAGCGGTTGCACAGATGAATATTGAAAAAGAGTAAGAAATGTAAATTTGGTGATTTCCATATTGGGCAGCTGCCCAGCAACCTACCTCAGAGAAAACCCAGATTACAAATGCCAATTTAACAACCAGTTCTCTGCCCTCAACAAGAAATGTGGTAAGGGCTCTGCGGAACTGGTTCGAACTGGTCTTGGGGTGTTTGGGATGGGTCTGCTACCCCCCACCCACCCCACTACTGACCCTCCTTCAGTGTAGTTCCCACACACATCCTATCTCAGGAAGACCGTTGCCTACTCCAGGAAGCCTGTCATATCACACACCACTCTCAGGATTTGGGGTTGTGGGGGAACCTTGGGCTGGCAGCAGCTGTCCCCACTTTTCTGCCAGCCCTGTCCAGCCTCCTTCCCCACCTCCCCAGATAGGCAATCTCTCCCTGATCCTGCCCTGGCGGCGCCCATTCTCTGTTGGCTCCCTCCCCTTGTGTGGCGTCTGAAGAGTCCATTTTGTCTCAGGACGACCCCGTGCGGTCAAAAGCGAAACTGTACCCCGTAACCCTTTCCCTGTCTTAACTTCGTGGAAGCAGGTAGTGACCAGACCTTTCGTCCGTGTTCCTGCAGGTGGGTCTAAGGTCCCAGCTCTAGGGTAGCAGGCTAGCACAAAAGCCACCTGGGGCTCTTCTCCCTGTGTTAGTTTAT